AAATCATGACTGAGTGTATGCTTTCGAATCAAAACAGTTTGAGGATAATAGTAAAATGTCCCGGAGGGTCCAAATAGTACGGCACAAGGCCCCAAACATAGCATTTATCCGAGTTAACAGAATTATCTCTAAACACATAGATTTCATACATAGTTTATCAAAATATGCAACTCTACAGTTGCCACGGGACGGACCAAGTCACAATCCCTACTGGTGCACGCCCACACGTCGTCATCTAGCATGTGCGTCACCTCATTTATCAAAAATAGTACGAAATTTCGGGGTTTCATACCCTCAGATCTAGATTTGCAATCGTTACTTACCTTAAATTGGGCGAAAATCTACTCCACGATGCCCTTGTCTCTCGATCCGGCCTCCAAATGCTCCGAATCTAACCAAAATCAGTATATTATCATCAATACACGCTAAAAAAATGGAACCCACACGAAAATTATCAAAATAGACCCAAAATCCCGAATTCTGTCAAACCCGGCCCCCGAACCCACATCTCGAAATCCGACAAAAATTGCAAAACTAGAAACCCCTTTCACTCCAGAGTCTATACATACCAAAATTATCAAAATCGGACCCCAAATGATCCCCAAAATCCCCAATTTAAACTCTCCAATTTCAAGCCCTAATTTCCCAATTTCTTCTCTAATTTTTCCACTAGTATCATGATTAAACAATGGAATAATCACCATAAAGACAAGATACAAGGCCCAAATAGCTTACCTCACTGAAAACACTTAATTCCCTTTTGGAATCACAGTCCCCAAGCTCCAACTCGTCAAAAAATGGTGAAGAAACGGCAGAAATTCGCGAAGGTGGCCTTTTTATACTTTCTGCCCAGCGACTTCCGCATCTGCGGCTCCAAGTCGCTTCTACGGCGCCTCACCTGCGGAAATTCCATCGCAGGTGCAGTTTCCACTTGAATTCCAGAACCCACTTCTGCGGTCAATATTTCGCACTTGCGGTATCGCAGGTGCGGTCCTGGTGCACACCTGCGATTTTCCTCAGCTTCTCAATTCTCCGCATATGCGGTCCAAATCTCGCTTTTGCGAGTCTCGCACCTGCGGTCCCCAATCCGTAGGTGCGGAAATGACAGGAGCAACAAAGTTCAGCTGCCAAACCAAGTTCCAATCTTTCCGAAAACTATCCGAAATCATCCTGAGGCCCTCGGGACCTCAACCAAAAAAATACGAACAAGTCATATGCCACTATTCAAACTTATTCAAACCTTTGGAACACTCCAAACAACACCAAATCAACCTCGTTTTCAAGCCTAAGAACTTAGAAACTTTCAAATTCCACAAACATCGTCGAAACCTATCAAATCACTTTCGAATGACCTGAAATTTTGCACACACATCACAAATGACACAACTGACCTACTCCAATTTCCGGAATTCCATTCTGACCCCGATATCAAGATTTTCACTATCGACCAAAAAACGCCAAATTTCCAATTTCGCCAATTCAAGCCTAAATCGACCACGGACCTCTAAATTACATTCCGAACATGCTCCTACTTTCAAAATCACCTAACGAAGCTATCTGAACTATCAGAATTCACATCTGAGACCTTCTACTCATAAGTCAACATCCGGTTGACTTTTCCAACTTAAGCTTCTAAATAAGAGACTAAGTATCTCATTCCACTCCGAGCACATAACAACCAACACAATATGATGAAATACAGCTGAAAAACACATAAAGAAGCAAAAATGGAAAAACGGGGCTGTAACTCATGAAACGACCGGCCAGATCGTTACATATTAGAAGCAGTGAAACAACATAAATCGCCAAGCGAAGGTAGCCTAAAAGAACTGCAAGAATAGCCCAGTACCAAGAACAGCTATATATATATTGTATACAAAGGATAATACAAAAAGCTTCCTACAACATAGGGGAAAAAAGTCGCAGATAAGGTGGAAGGCGATGAACGGAAAATTTAGAGCCACAAAGAAAGTAAAATAGAGTAGGGTACGTGGCAATTCAGTTTAGGGCAAGCCACGCAGTTTATGGATAAAAACTTAAATGGTAAAGTGAAATGTCATTTATGCCCTTGGTCTACCAACAAGCCTTTTCTATATAATAGAAATACTAACAGCCTGTAATTAACTTCTAAAACTCAGGGGAGCGTGTTTAGATCCCATTTGGCCATGCTGTCAGAAATCGCTTATTTTAAAAAATATTTATGTGCTTTTTGAAATAGTAAAGGGCAGCTCGGTGTACTAAGCTCCCGTTATGTACAGGGTTCGGGGAAGGGCCGGACCACAGGGATTTATTGTACGCAACTTTACCCTGCATTTCTACAAAAGGTTATTTCCACGGCTTGAACACGTGACCTCCTGATTTTTTAAAAAGAAATTTTGCGAAATATCAGTTTGTGTTTGATTAATTTATTTTAATAGTACCTTTGAAAGCATAATGTGTTTAGCCTATCTTTCCAAAAAGTACTTTTAAGCATCAAATTACAAAAAGGAGAATAAACGTTTAGTTTGCAATTAGTATTATTTAAAAAAATAAATTTAAATATTTATTATAAGAATTCAATTAAAATATAAAAATAAGGTAAAAATATAAATTAAAGATTCTAATCAATATAAAATATAGATATTCCAAAGCAATAATATTGAATATCTGGTATTATTTATTACTTATATGATAATTTAAATTTATCAAAATACACCATTCCACATGAATTAAAATCTACTTTTATTAAATCATTCCAAGGTCAAACACTTTTCCAAAAAAAGTGAAATTTTTTTTGAAAAAAAAAGGAATCTTTTTGGCCAAACGGGCACTTGGAGTTTAAACTATCTATCTATAATTAAAAGCCAAAGACAAAAGTCCCACACGAAGCCAAGTGACAGATTCCTAAAAATACACTTGGCACTTTAAGACATTGCTCCACATTATTAGGAAGTACAATATTTGGAGTAGCCTTCAAACCGTTCATGAGTAAACCGTTTCACCTTCTCTTCAGCTTTCTTATTTTTTATATATATAAAACATCAGCCATCATCCCTTAACAATTCCCTTTCCATCACATCACTTTGTAAAAATTTACTCTTTCACAAATTACCTCCACTACACACGATCTCACCCACGTCACACAGCACAAACCTGCACTTTTCTCTTTTATCTCACGTCCCAACCGCTATATCCCCTCAATCCCATATTCTCCCACTCCAACGCTTTTGGCACATGATCACATACCACCAGATATGCTCCTCTATAAAAGGGAGATATCACGTTGAGAAAAGGAGTTTTTTTTTTTTGGGGGGGGGGGTGGATTTTGATTTTTGGGAGTGAAAAGGATTTCTTTGAGACAGTGAACTTTGAGAGAAATTCCCAGATCTTCTCTTCTTCATATTTTCTGCAATTTGGTAATATAGTTTTCAAAAAAAAAAAACCAAAATAGTGTAAAGAATGAAAAGTTTGAATTAGCCGATTAGCTATTGTCATTGGAGTCCGACGTCGGAGTGTTCCTATTATAGTTGATCCGTACTCGCTAGGATTCCTTATTACATCAAAGGAGTTTTTTTTTTTTTTTTGCTTTCAACCAGGTTCATATTCTTTCTTCTATTTTTTTTTTTGTTTAATTTTACGTTCTCCCTTTTCATTTTTCTTTTTCTCTTTCTTTCTTTTGTGCTGCATTTGTTATCTTTATGTGTATATAAACATGTGTTGATTTTGTAATACATTTGTGTTTCTTATATTAAATATCATTCCCATGGGTTCTATTGGAAATATATTATGAATATTCCTACCGTGATGATTTAAATCATTTTATAGCTTATGTCAGTTTAGTGCATGGATTTTTTTTTTATATTTTTAAAGTTAAAGGAAATAGATATTGTAGTTTGATTCATTAGCTGACATTCATATTTTAATTGTTAGTTCCCTTTCAAGTGTAAGGAATATTTTAGTACTAAAATTTGCATATGTTTATATATGAATCTTTCCTGGCCCCAATCATCTTGGGGTTTAGATATCGTCACAATAATTTTTTAATAAGTTCAAATTTCCTCTCTTCAAATCTGCTTGTATAATTAAAAGGAGAGGATAAAGCCCTCTCCTTAAGCCAAGTGGCAGCCTAAAAAAGGCCACATGGCATAATTAGTTAATAATTAGTTATTATATTTGAATTTGAATATTTATACAAAATGAAAATAATAAAAAATAAAAAACTACTATATATATGTATATATATTGGTTACTTTATTAATAATTGAGTATATTGGTTACTTTATTAATAATTTAGGTAGTTAAATCTATATCTATATCTATATCTATATCTATCTATAATTAAAAGCAGAAGACAAAAGCACCTCATGAAGCCAATGGCAGAACAATAGAATGACACATGTAAAAAATTTGGACAATCCTCCAACTTTCTTGGAGTTTCAAAATTCCATTCAACTTTATTTAAAAATAGATGTGAAAGACACGTTTTTTTTTTTCAAAATTCAAGCAATTGAAACTACCAATAAAAATCACCAACTACTCCCACTTCTTCCACTCCCCTTCCTTTTAAAAACTAACTGAATTACACGTTTTTTTTTTAAAATTCAAGTAATAGAAACTACCAATAAAAACCACCAACTACTCCCACTTCCCTCCACTCCCCTTCCTTTTAAAAAGTAACTGAATTTCTCCTCTTGCATATATTGAATTAGAAAAAACGTATAGTTGAATTGAATTGACAATCCTCTTCCATTTGTATCTCATATGTCGAAATCAGGTTAGTCTTTTACACCTCTTATGTCAATGTATAATTTAATTCGGATTAGCTTCAGTTTACAACAAGAATTAACTTTTCATAAGATTAAATTTTTTGAGGCTGTCAACTGCAGATCAGAAAATTAAATTCATATCAATGTGCTCTTTTTCTTTGTTTTTTCCCATTCGTGATTTTGTTTGTTTTCTTATATACCACATATGAGAACTTTCGTCGTAGAGGACTAAGAGGAGATAACAGGATCAATGTGTATGACCGAGGGTGCACGAACAACTTTCTTGAAGTATTCTGCTCGAGGATAGAACCTTCGAAAAACAATTTCCGTGGATATGTACATGAAGCATTAAAGTCTAGCAAGGCAGGAAACATTCAAGTAACAGAAGTTGATAACTCCGATGAGGATAGAAGAGTCAAGGTAGAAGAAGATCTTGAGAATATTCTCATTAAAACTCATAATGTGTTAGGAATGATTAAACTACATGGATTAAAATTTGTAATTTGCGCGACTCTAAATGGTGCTCTTTTTTTTATTCAAAAAGTGCAGGTTCTGCATTTCAATTTTAATTAATTTACTTCTAAGTAGGTTTTGTTTGTTTTGTATTTTTGCAGTATTTTCACAACGAGAATCTGTGAGAGAATTCTTCTAATGTGATCAACGAAAGGAGTATATATTCAGTAGCAAGGTAAGTTTTATTTTGCCTATTTTTCCTTTATTAATCCAATTTGGGTATTATTCTTCTCATTCTATTGAGTTTAATAGTAGCAACTTTTTTGGATCTTCTTCTTTTTCTTCTTTGGGCTAATTCATTCAAGACCTTTGGCAGAAATCCTCTACACTGCTATTTTTACCATTGCGCTAATTGCTAAGAAACTACTTCTACTTGCGGAACAAATTAAAAGAAAATACAATCTCAAAATTTTCATCCAATTGGACCTTCATTAGGAAGAGTCTACTTCAATTCAACGGTGCAAACTTATGTCATTTCCTAATAACATTGATAAAACTGGTAAATATATGACATTCTTTCCCTCTAAATTTAGTGTAGATATATAATAAAAGGATAAGAATACAAAGGGGAAGGAGAATTTAATTTAATTGCTCATAGAAAATAATACAAAATAATAACTATGATGATTATTAGTAGATTTATAATATACAATAAATAATAAAAATAACTTCTATGCTTACTCTTTGAATTAATTCAAGCCCATCAATTTAGGAAAACAATACAATAATATTTGTATTATACATAAACACTAAATGCGAAAAAAATTAAAATTTTGATGAACATAAACTAATTTATAAAGAGGAGAATAGATATAATATGATTATATTCACAATTTAAATTTATTTGATAAAATTAAGTAAACAAATAATACTTAAAAATATTGTTGATATATCAATAAATAGAGTAGTTGACAACGATATTAAGCCATGTGGGACTTTTAGGACAAAATCTAATAAGATTTAGGATAAAGTCTAATAATATTTAGAATAAAATATAATAGAAATTAGCACAAAATTTACTAAGAATTTTTAATAGATATTTTGAATTGAGTAGTTTGAGATTATGCCAAGTGGCAAACTAATAAAAAGCCACTTGATAATTTTAAGATAATATATGTTAGACTATGTAATAAATTAAAATTGTATTCAAAGATAAATTTTTGAATCTATATATATACACACACACATAAAAGTAAGAATATAACATCACTATTTACAATCCACATAGCTAATTGAGAGCTATAAGATTTCATAAAATAACTAAATAAGTAAGACCAAAAAATCGAGTTACTGAATTAAGAATCTATCAAAAAATAAGTTGAAAATACCTTCTAATTCAGCCAAAGATAATTTTCACATTATTTTTTAATTATTAAAAGACATAACATTATTTTTCTCATATGAGACTATTTTCTTTTTTGATTTGCACCGGGTGTCCGAGTCTCTTCGAGCCCCGACTAATCCCGGGGTGCACAGGCCCTCGGCAAGGAGTTTCCCGCAAGTGCACCACGGTTAATTCAGGTTTTACCTAATCCGATGGCCCTCAAAAATTGTTTGCACCCAATGAGTTTCGAACTTGAGACCTTGAAAGGGAGCAAACCCCATGACTCTAAATATACATCTCTTTACAAAAGAAAAACTTTATGATCTTCATTACGAGGACAAAATTAAAGGTTCTAACGATGATTATGATGATCAAATAACAAATAAAGTTATAAAAATAGAAAATCGAGCATTTTTTAGATTTATTAAATTATAATATATTCTAATCTGTGTAGAATCATGTTATATTTTTAGATTGTGTGGAGCACAAACTATATAATTATTTCACCCGTTTCAATTATGCGGCACTTTTTTCCTTTTTAGTCAGTCTAAAAAAGAATGTCACCTTTCCTTACTTAGAAATAATTTTGTTAGTAGAATGTATACTTTACCCCTTAATGAATTGATTTGTATGCATATAAATATTTATGGTTTATTTTAGACCACAAATTTTAAAAATCTTTCTTATTTTTTACTAACTCGAATACTGCCAGATAAATTGAAAAGAAAGGAGTATGATATTTTAGTATAATCCAAGAGTTATTCGATGATTATATGATTTATTTAATTTAGTTACATATATTTTTATTATAAGGGTACTTACATTGAGATAAGACGATAACTACAATTTTGTTAAAATGTATACAAACAAATTAGATCTTCAATGTTTGATATGATTAATATTCTTTAATAAAGTCAGCGCGCGGATAGTAATACTAGTATATAATTAAAATCCCAGAACTAGACTACTAGTTATGCTTTTATACAGTGAACGAGCCAATTGACTAGCAAAACAAGCCAAACGCCGGAGATGGCGACGACGCCAATGATGCCGCCGATGGGGAACCCAAACTTTGATGGAGGTGCACCGCCGCAGCCGGGGACTGACATGACAGGAATATGCTTCAGGGACCAGTTATGGCTGAATACATATCCGCTGGATCGTAACCTAGTATTTGACTACTTTGCTCTTTCTCCTTTCTATGACTGGACTTGCAACAATGAGCAACTCCGATCACGCGCCATTCACCCGCTCGATATTTCTCATTTATCGTATGATTTTTATCTCTGAATCCTTCTGCATCTGTTCAATTTTATTCCTTTTTCTTTAAATTTTCATTTCCCCCCCAAATTAATGGTCCCGTTAACCCGAATAATTAGTAACAAATTACCTCTATTTTCATGCATAACTAATTTACAGTGCAATTGACCTATTATTTGCTAGTGTTTAATTTCTATGCACTAATGCTGTAAAAATATATTTACAATCAGGTCGTTTATAAGGTAGTTACAAGTAAATATTTGTTATAATCATTACTTGGTAACCTGATAAAAGTTGTAGCTAACCTATCATTACAGGTTAAACTAAGCTGACAGTGTAAAGATTATTTACAAAGTGCATATAATTAAATCCTTTTGCTAATTGATGTGCAGGAAAATGACGGGCAGCGAATACACGCTGAGTGAAGTTATGGAGCCACATCTCTTTGTCATTCGTAAGCAAAAGAGGGATAGTCCCGAGAAGGTAACACCGATGTTGACTTATTATATATTGGATGGCTCAATTTACCAAGCTCCGCAGCTCTGCAATGTGTTTGCAGGTCGACTGGTTAGTAATCTCCTCTTGTTGCACCTTGGTACAGGAGTGTATTTTTATAGGTAGTAATTGTTTTTAACTGTATGCATCTTGCATTCTTGTTAGCCATCACTATAATATTCAATTGATTAAAATTTAACCGAGATTCATATGTGTGTGTGCACGCTCAATGGCGGAGTCAAGAATTTCACTAAGGGGTGTCAAAATATAAAGAAGTAAACACACGAAGATGTTAACTGGATTCCACATGTAGTATATATACATAAAAATAAAACAATTCCTAACTACACTGTTGAAGACATAATTAAGAAAATAAAAGTGTTTCTCTCTAACAGCTTAAGCTTTTAGATGAGATGGTTACACACTTCAACGTGGTATCAGAGCAGGCTAAGGTCTTGGATTCGAGTCTCACCACCACCCAATATCAAAAAGAATTTCCACGTGCTTGGCTCATCAAAAAGGATCAAGCCCGCACGTGCGGGCGTGTTGAAGATATAATCAAGTAAATGAAAGTATTTCTGTCTGACAGCTTAAGCTTTTAGATGGGATGATTACACACTTCAACATACAATGTAACTGACACCCTTTAGCTTAAGGTGGCTCCTCCGTTGTATGTGCCCATGTGGTATATCGACCAATAGGGATGTCTGCTGATCAGTGTTTTTTCCATCTAGGCACCTAAACTTAACTGAATACTTAATGCTGGATAGAGTTAAATTAAGAAATTTAGATTTTATCCAAGAAAAAAGAATAAAAAAAGGGGAACATACTTAAAAGTAGGTGGCAGCACTGAGAGGAAAGTACTGAATGGAAGTAGATTGGAACAAGGGCTGTGTTCAGCCACACGATAAGCTGTGTACAGTGAACAAACAAGCTGTTTTGACTGTAGTTGTATTCAAGCAGAGATCACTTATGTTATTTTTTTAAAACTTTGTTTCTGTTTTGCCCTCTGGCACCAAATGTTGCAAAATATATCATATACGGCAGAGTTTCATTCCTATTTGTCGACTGTAGTGTAAGTGCATTTTTGGACTCATTAAAGGCATTTCCATAATTTGGCATGGGATGTGTAGGGATTTCTTGGTAGTCGAAATGCTTCGGGAGTTCTCTGTAGGAAAAATATGCAGTTAAGTGCATCTTAAAGATCTCATTTTCATCCAGTCTTTCTTTGACGGTGCAATTTAATAGGTGATATTAAGGTGGTTAGCTTGGACAGTGGATAGGGCAGTTAGTGCTTTAGAGGAATCTGAAAGAATATAAGAAGAAAGAAAAATGGCGGAGATACCATAAATTCCACCTAGAAATTAACAGACATAAGAATCCCTAGAGGAGGTGGTAATGGTAATCTGTGCAGAGGTTTACATTGTTTTATGACAATCAGTATTGAGTGTGAGCACCTAATTTTTGACTATATTTGGGTTTTTAACACTCTTTAATTTTTCTATATTTCATTTAATTTGTTTTGCATTTTATTTTGCATTTTTCATGCATATTTAGAGGTGCTTTAAATCACAAAAATGTCAAAAATATTTTTTCATGTTATTGCATTCTGGCATTTTAATTGTATTTTTTTTAAGGATTTAATTATCTTTTAATTGCAACAACAACAACAACAACAACAACAACCTAGTGTAATCCCACAAGTGGGGTTTGGGGAGGGTAGGATATACGCAGCCTTACCTCTACCCTGGAGGGGAAGAGAGACTGTTTTTCCTATAGACCATCGGCTAAATAAAAGACGGAAGAAGCACTGATAACAAGTAATATCAAGACAATATATTTAGAAAACTAAAACCAAGATAGCAATAGAGACTATGAAAGAAGTACTGATAGCAAGTAACAATAATACAAGGTATGTAGTGAGAGCAAACTAAGGGAGTACTGGTGGTATGTAATAACACTACAAGATATGCGATAATAACAAATGAAGGTTCAAATTGGTTTAATTGTTAATTAGGTCTTTTTTGCAAAATAAATTCAATTAGGTTTAATTTGGTTAATTTTGAAAATCAAATGAAGAAGAAGATGGCCCGTTTTGATTCAGATTCTGAATTGGGCTAGCTTCAAACGGCCCAAATCCCACGAAATACCCGCCCAAACCTAGTCCAGCCCCACGGACATCCATACGACGCCGTTTTAGAATCAACAAATCCTAGCCTTTCATTCCATTTCATCGGACGGCCCGGAGCTGATCAACCCTTCCCTTATAATTGTGGGAGCATCCCCCACCTCCCAAACCCTTCCCAGACGCCTTTTCTCTCCCCATTGTTCCTCCGCCCAACGCCGCCGCCGGAAATCGCCCACGGCGGCGGCCCATCACCAAATCCACTCAAAATATCACCCTACACTCCCCTCTTCCTCCTCATTCCTAATCTGCTACCCATTTCCCTTAAAACCCTTTAGTTTTCTTCGATTAGTAGATCTAGAGTTCGTCAAAACTTAAAATCACCCCTTTTGATTTCCTGCTCGATTTCGGCCTTGTTTCATGCTGGAATTTACATCAATCGACAGCTCTTGGTAAGAGCTATTGATTGAGGTTAGTTTTATCCCGATCCATGGTCACTGGAGTCCGGCCAGTTTTGCCCGTTGACCTCCAAATCACTTCAACCCTCTACACGGTTCGTCAGGGTCATTGTTATATGTAGCACTAGCCTAAAAATGGATAATCTCCGGCCAGTGCTCACCTAGCAATAACTTTGGCTTGCCGGAGTTTGGTTGATCACCGGTTTTTTTTTGACCGGCATACGGCATCGATTGGTAACCTTTCGACTTTTTCTTTTGTTTCAGATTAATTGCTTCTTTGTTGACTTCAATGAATCCCTGTTTTGCATTTTAGTTCAATTTGGTTAGACATTTTGCTTATTATTTGTTTAATTCTGTGTTTTGCATAATTAAATTAACAGTTTAATTGCATGATAGTTAGTTTGTAGACTAATCGATCCTGAATTAGTTAGTCACATGTTTGAATTAGGATTAATCGTTAAAATTGCTTGGATTTTGAATATTGTTTGCTGTATTTTGATTTTTAATCTGTTTGAATTCATTTATTATAATTACTTGTAATTACTAGAAATATACGTGTGCTAAAGGAAAAAGAAACTTAGGGGAATCTTTCATGTAACTAAATAGAAGTTTCTAGAAGAGGGAAGAAGGGACTTATCAGCAATTAAAAGATAAAAACAGGTCTGGTGTGAGGGGATAGTAAGTAGAAACAAAAAAGAAACGGGGCAAAAAAAGAAAGGAAATAACTGAAAAGAATCTCTAAATTTCTGTTATAAAAACAGTACACCCATTCACTATGATGGACACACTTACTCATTCACACTCTTCTCACCCATTCACTCTCATTCTCTCACCTTCACACACGGAAAATACACTAGTAGCTAGAACTTCTGGAAATTCAAAAATTTTCCAGAGCTGAAAACCAAAAAAAATTAACTCTCAAAAACAAAAACAAAACAACCAAAAAAAAAGGTTAAAAGGATTCAAAGCTGTTTCTGATTTTCTACTCGACTGCCAGTGTTGTGAAGAGTGTGAAGCGAGGAAAAGCGACAACCCCCATTTCGCTTAAAGCGAGAAGCGATAAGCGAAGCGCTCGTTTTTTGAAGTGAAGCGGAATTTAAAAAAATAATATTAAAATAAGAGGAAGGGCAGTATACCATTCTGTTAAAAATTGGGCAGCATAAAAACAGTGAAAGAAGAACTGGGCAGTATTTCAACGAAGAGGAGAAGACTGAGAAAGAAGAACCAAAGGGGAAAAAAAAATCGCCAGCATTTCGCTGCTATTTGGACGCTGAAATAGTGAAAGAAAAAGAAAATCATCACATACATGTTGCTGCTGGTTGTATGTTGAAGTTGAAAAGGGAACCCTAGTCGCCTCTTTAGAATCTCTGTTGCTGCTGGTTGTGTGTTTTAATAAAGAACACTGAACACCTTTCTTTTTTAATTAAATAGGTTGGCAGGTGCTTAAAACAGAGAAGCGCTCGCTTCGGTCGCCTCACTTCGTCGCTTCTCGCTTTTTAGTGGGAAGCGCACGCTTTTGTCTACCTGAGTCGCTTCATATAGCAGAAGCGGTAATGGGGTCGCCTCGCTTTGCTTCTCGCTTTAAGCGAGGAAGCGACTGCTTTTCACAACCCTGTCGATTGCTTGATAAATTCTGGGCTTTGAGCTGGTTTTTGATTGGAGAATTGAAGCTGTTTCTCTGCTTTATTCTGCTTGGATTTGCTGAGCTCCACTCTTTATTTCTTCCTTTATTTGGCTATTCCGGCTTGTTTCAAGTTTAGGTACACATCTATAAACCTATATGGCCTTGAATTTTTGCATAATCGAACTTCTCTGCTTTCTTCTATGAATCTAGATATGTTACTGTGTTCATGTGATGTTATGTGTTTGAGTGTGTATGAAAGGCTTCAAAACTACTTGGCTAACTTGATTCGTAGTCGAGCAGAAGATGTTTGCCTAAATTAGTTTACTTTGTCATTTCACTGTTGCTCACGAATTCCTCTAAGCATATGTTATCTCTGTTAGTATCAAGTTATTAACTACTATCAGTTTTAATTAGTAAGTCTCTGATGATTCTGTGGTCCCAGCAATTTTAATTAAATTTCAGCTAAGTTTGTGAGAAGCTGGCTCTGAAATTGTCAAAAATAGAGTGTCCCAAAGAAGGATCTGAGGATGAATAATTGAACATTGGAGAAAGGAGACGAAAGGATTAGAAGACTGTTCAGTTGAAGTCTATTCGTTTATGTGTATGTTTAGAGTCAAATTTCTGTAATTCACATGATAATCCGTTCTAGATTTAGGCAGAAATGACATAATTGTCGTTATTCAAATAATGATTATTGATGTAATTGTCTCTATGACGTTAAAATCATGTACTGATATTCCTTTGTGATTATGTATTTTAGATTTAAATTCATGTTAGTTGAATATGGGCTAGTGGACCTCTATATTTCTGAAAGCACCAAGTCTGATGTTTGGACTCAGTTTGATACGCATGAAATAAGAGTCTGTGTGAACTCTGAAATTAATTTCAGGCCTGATCAACTCTTTGAGGCCCAATCAATATAGAATGTTAAAGCTTGGGTTCACTTGGGCATTGCCTGGGGCCCGGAGGAGACCCAGTTTTCCCTCCTATCATTTTAAATAGAGCTGGATCTGATATGAAGCGGGTTTGATTGGGCTTAGTGCACGTAATATTGCTAGGCCCACCTACATCGTATCCATTTGCCATTTCTTTGGTCATCCCATAATTGAGGATCTTTTAACCAGGAAACTACAAATCCTCTTGGGCAACATTCAATTGGTTAAATCCTCTTGGGCAACATTCAATTGGTTAAATCAAAACAAACTAGTACCAAATAAGTGTAGAAATACTGGGAATAACCATCAGATTTCTTTCATGACTAAAATACACGCCTAATTCCGGACAGTTGCACTTATTTTCATCATCGGATCAAAGTACCTCATAGGATGATTAGTAAGCTATTAATGTACATAATCTAGTACAAAAAATTGAATTCCGTGACGTGACTTGCGACTTTCATATGAAGTCCCAAACTTAGGAAAAGAATTAACTTATGAATATGCGTAGCATGCTTTAGATGCGTTTTCAATCTATTATCATAATCATGTATACGTTCGCATGACATAATCATGATCCCAAAAACAAATTAAGGTACGCGTTCACGCGACTTTGGCCAAAAAATCTTTAAAATAATAATTGTGTTATTAGTTATGTACACGTACGCGTGACATGATTTTGACACACCGAATAAAACGGATTCACACACATGTGATTCGTTTCAAAGATAATTCCGTAATAATTCAAATGCGGTAAAAGAATAAAATACACATAGGTTTTCTTTTAAATATACATAATAATCCGTTAATTAAGCCAAGTATGATTGTAAAGCTACTGTGCCAAACCACGGAATCCGGGAGTGTCTCACACCTTCTCCGGGTTATCAAAATTCCTTACCTGGTCTTCTGTGTTTCGCAGACTTAAATAGAGTCAAATTTCCTTGAATTGGGATTAAATTAAATGGTGACTTGGGACACCGTAAATAATTATTCCAAGTGATGACTCTTTAAAATAAAATAAATAATCCTATTTCAATAATGCCACTTAAAGTGGAAAAACTCCTTTTCCCCGTAAAAAGGAGGTGTAACAGCTCTGGCGACTCTACTGGGGAAACGAACCCAGAACTTCTGGTTCAGGGTTCAGAATTTGAACTTGTAAAGTGATCTATACTTGGCTTTACTGATTGGATGTTATTACTGTGTTTGTGGGCCTAATGTGCTAATTGTCGCTCATTTGCCGCATTGATATTATTTGAACTGTATTCTTACGCCTCCCTTCTGAGTCTTCTGAATTTATGGTGCACACGTGCGCGTGACCCACTTTTGTGTTAGAGGTCGTACCAATTAGAACGAGGTTGGTTCAGTAACTAGGCCGGGTAGACTTTTGCGTTCCCGGTACGTTGCTCCCACGTTGGCTCGAGTTGTCCGCTTGAGTAAGCCAGGTCTAAAATACGCCCCCAGGATTTAAACTTAGAATAACATAGCCTCATACCGGTTCCCTTGTAGGAACATGAGGTTTTCAATGTTTTCAAAGGAGCAGGTAACATGCTTGAACTCTAATATTTTGAATGTCTTGTCTGTAGCATTTATTCATATTGTTGCTTTGTGAGACAATCAGCCGGTCCCTATCTGATTTCTGAAGTTTTTGATTCCTGTTTGACTTGAATTTTCTTTTGCAGTCTTGCATTTCATATTCTATGAGTTGCTCGTCTCTCATAACTAATAAGGTTGTGAACACCGGCATAGTTGCATGTCTCGATGATGGTTTTCATTTAGCTGAATATTAAAGAGAGAATTCAAATATACATGCGGATTTTATTTCCAATTTGTTAAACTAAGTTAAGTACTATATACCCCCTCCATCCAGAAAATGTGAGTTACTGTCCTTTTGGTTCATTCCAAAATTTGAACTTTTGCTAAAGTTTTCTTGTTATATAACTTGATATTTAGTATTTCTGCTTATTCAAAGATTTTCCTTACTTGCAAATGCTAATACTAGAGAATTTAGCTGTATTTGATGCTTTTCATGTTGAAAATTAACCTCTTTTGTCTTGATTCACTTATTTGACAGGGACGTGCTTTATATCATATATCCAAAGCTTTCAGTTCTGCAGCTTCAAAGTTGGAAAAGACCGGATATGGTATCTTGACATCCCTTTTCCCCCCTTTCTTGTGCTTCTCTTTCTTATTGTGTTTTCTTGGGTGTGCTTCCCTGGGGCTTGTTTTGGGGTGGGGGTGGGACCAGGGACTTCTCTAACGAGAACCTGATGCTGCCAATATCAAAAAGATTGGCTGGAGCAATGTTATTGGTGGTTTTGTTTTATCGACCCTATTGTGTGTTCAAGATAGTCAACTCACTTAAATATCTTCTGGTGAATGTAGAGTTGCTGAATTCCTTTTTTCCATTTCCGTTTGTCGTATTCTACTTGTGTTTATTTTGGTCGATTGTTCAATAATAATTGAATACAACAGTCTTTGCTTTTGGAGATGGACTGAAATGTTATGTATCACGCGAAAATTATGATGTCAGGTGCTAGTATATCATGTGGTGTAATTACTCTTCATATTTCATAATGTCCATCCAATTTTAGACTACATAGGTCACTCAGTTCTAGTTTGATGCTCTGTGATTTTCAGGCTATTTGCTTGTTCAGTTATCTCCATAACTCCACTTTCCAATTTTGAAGAACATCCCCTAGTGTAAATTGGCCCAAATTTGTTGGTGAACACTAAAATGGATGAGAGAAGCCCCTATAAGGCTTAAACTCTTGTCAAAAGACACCCTATGTAACATCAGGCCCGACTTTGGAGGTGTTCTTATATTCTTCGATATGAATGAGGACAGGATATGTAACAACCTGTGTAATTTAGGTGAGATAATTTTTTAATTGATGTGATTAAAGACAAACTTAGGCACATGATGCTCTACTCCCATTCTTGATTTGGTGCATGGAAATGTTAATGTCTGGGCAAAATATAAATTATTTGAAGTTATGTGCTCTTTGCCATGGTGATGTTTGTGACCATTGGAAACTAAACAAAGTATGTTCTGACCCTCCTCCTTCCTGAAGACCCAAAAGGAAAAAATGAACAATGGAAAGCATTCAGACCGGATTTCTTGTTACAAGTGCTTTAGTTCCTTGCAAGGAACTGCATTCTTGATTGCCACACATTGCCATTTACTTTTCTTCCTGAAAAGCTGGGATCGGACCTCTGTGTATATATTTTAATTCATGGTTATGTTTTGACTAGAATAGTTGAAGTTCGACTTGAATCTCTCCATCAAGGTGTCAAATCTTATGCGTAGATTGTTCAGGTCAATGATTTATCATGCTCTTCTTTATGTTTAAGTATAATGCTTTTATATTCCATAATTTCATTCCATTCTGTGTGCTTTGCTTTCGCAGTGGCTGCTGAAAATGAGAGTGAAGCATCTGAACCTAAGCCTGCTAAGGAGACCATTGACTTCAAGGAACTTAAGCGAGTTGATCATATCCTTGCTTCCCTACAACGAAAGGTAACTGTCGTGTCTTAAAAAATGTAGTCTGTCTGGATGGTGCTTTTGACCTCAGTTGTCATTACCTCTTAGCTCAGGTACTTATCTAGGCTGTGAAGTTATTACTATGGAATCTAATATTTCATTGAAGGTTAAGGTTTTATGGTACATAGTTTTCTGCAACATTTGTCTTATGTTTTTAATTGACAAACTTGATCTTTTTGCAGCTACCACCAGTACCTCCACCCCCACCATTTCCGGAAGGCTATGCACCACCTTCCACAGCAGAAGCATCTGAAAACCAGCAAGCAGAGACTCAGTTGCCTCCAGTTGATCCCATCATCGACCAAGGTCCGTCTAAGCGAATGAAAGTATGAAATGATACTGTCTAAGCAATTGGTGGCTGCAAGAATTTGTACGATGCTCCAGATGGTTCTGAGTGATCCTTAACTGAATATTTCCTGCAGTTAGTGGCTATGAGACTTCTACGACACTTGAAATGGTCCAGAGTCATCCTTAACTTGATAGTAGATTTTTCTGTATAAAAAGTAGAGTGTTAAATCTTTGTCTTAGGTCAGAACTTTTCATGTAGATCCTGTCAAGGATATAGTTCACCTGTAGGCTCTTTGGCCTTGTAATGCTGTTACATTAGTTTGCAATCGTGTAAGTTTACCCGAGCTTTCATATCTTGGAACACACTTATTGGCTCAAATATTTTAACAAATGCTTTCTTCATTTGGAAATTGGAATGTTTTTCAGGGTTGAATTTGCGGAAAACAAATTATTATTTAATGGAAAGATTGATAAGGCAGACGTTTATTCCTTGGTTGGAGAAGCAGTGCCAGGAGATTGATTATATAAAACAAAAATATGTCTGGACATACTTGTCCTGAATTTTAATGTGTGTTTGTTTTGTTAAGCAACCACCTTCCTAGAAAACCTTTCGTTACACTTTACTTTGGAAACATGAAATAACGCAATCAAAAAGTGACTCTTTCAAGTAGTGCTACATCGATCAAATAACTACAGAAGCAGCTGTGTCTGGACACAAAAGCAGCAGATTCCTAGGCTGCACATCTCCAATGTTACAGGAGAACGACATTAAACAGGGATAGAGATGTTGCTAAGACATGCTATCTTGGTGTGATACATGAATCCATGGTTCTTTGCATATGTCAGCACCGTCCCATGCTCTGGTCATGGGCAGTTAACGGTCTAAAAGATATTTATACAATTAGATAGATTACTATTAGAAATTATGGACACATTTCTTGCTAATTACTATTTTTAATCTAATGTGGTAAAAGTAATAAATATTTACTAACTTGTTATTATTAGTGAAAAAACACCAAGAGTGTAAATAAAATCTTTACGCTGATACCGTGAATAAAAAATAGGGAAAATGATAATGTATAACCGCTCTCAAAATAATAGCCGAAAAAATGTATATATTTTATATATTTTTTGTATATATATATACACACTCTGTATATTATATACAAAAATTATACAAATTTTATACTCTTATTCAACTATTGAATGTAAATAGTTTCTGGCACGGACTAAAAGTGAAAAAAAAACCCGAAATGCTAAATCACTAGCACTGTTACGCCATTAAAATACTGTAGCATGCCGGGAGAAATTCAAAAATAACCAGATTTACAAGTGGTCATTCAAAAATAGCCACAGTTTCAAAAGTAATCGAAATTTAGCCACTTTTCATGTAAAGATAAATCTGAACGAAAACATTGTTCAAAATCCGGAAAATACTTCAGTATATTATAATGAAGTTCCAGCATAAGTATATTGGAACTCCAGCATATTATAATGGAGTTCCAGCATAAGTATACTGGAACTCCAACATAATATTATACTGGAGTTCCAGTATAATATACTGGTCCAGCATAATATGCTGGAAGTTCATACACGTGCTCCAATCTCCAGTATATTATACCGGAACTTTACGTGGGTTGGAGTTCCAGCATAATATGCTGGAAGTTCATACACAAGTGCACCGATCTCCAGTATGTTATGCTGGACCGGTCCCTGTTGCAGCAAAATAGTGACTATTTTTCAATGACTTTGCAAACGCTGACTATTATTAAATGACCAGTCCGAAAACTGATTAGCGCGTGCTATTTTACTAGCATGCCACATCTAAAGTCCTTCGTCAACCCGGGGATGAATTTGAGAATTTACCTTATGTGGTTGCTTAATCATAATTTTCATCGTCGGAGATGAATTTTTCTCGATTTTCGTTTTTTGCAAAATATATGTATAGTTGATATATTTTGATTATAATATTTAGTTTTATGAGTTTGTTACAATAGATCTTTAGTTAGATTACCATCCGATCAAATTAACCTCCTTGAGGTAATGCTAGGAACAATAAAAACCCAAGTAAAATGTCTAGAAAATGTCGAGAAAATTATGAATACACAATATAGTTAAAGTAACTTTTAGAGCAAAATGGGAAATAGCAATCCTAAAAGAGAAAATGTCTCATGTTGCTTGTTATTTTCCCATAAAAGAAAAAGAAAAAAACTCCAGTGCCAATTTTGGCCCTAGAAGATACAAATGCAATCACCAAATACAACAAAATTCAATATTGCGACAATCAATTTAAAAGAGGGAATTAATTTAATAGCCCTGGTCAACAAGATAGTCACCAATTTTCTCAACCACCATGTTGCACTGTCCTGGGGTCACTGGTTCCTCATAGATACCAAAAATCAGAGCCTGGTTAGTTTTCTTGATGGTTATTCCACCAGATCCCTACACAAAACAATTTTACAAATCATTCAAAAATAGAAATATATATTAAGTCCAAATACATTGTCACAACTCAAAAAGTAGTTCACAAAATTTAAGGACCTCGACAAAAGTTATTTTGTCGAATAACAAAATGCACAAATTCATGGATCTTTCATTTGCTTTGCCATAATCATGTCAAACAAGTGTACATGTTTTAGAGAACGTCTACATACACAGTACACTAAAAATTAGCGAAAAAACTGTACGTACGTTCATCATTCCATGTAACATAGTTCTCAACCACATGCAAAGAACATCGTTTTATTTAATTGCAATAAAAGATGCACAAGATTGGGGGTGTCAATTAAGCGGGTTAGACTGATTTTGGACGGGTCAAAATAGGTTGAGTCAATATGGGCAAAAAATTGGGTTATAATCCACCCCGTCCAACTCTTATCAGGCTTTAATTAGTGTGTGTTGTTTCATTATCAAATAAGTCTTTTTTCCATTCGTTATGGTCATAAGTATATAACATGTGAAACAAAAAAAGAATTATTTTAAAGATATTTTAACGAAATTACTCACGGATCATTTGGGGTAAAAATCAACCTAACTTTAGATGATCTGGATCAAGATAAACTGAGTTTAGCAAATGGGCGGGTCAATGACCGGCCTAACTTTGGATGGGTTGGGCATGTCAAAGGGGTTTGGGTTCAGATTGTCATCTCTACGCAGGATTTACAAACGAAATAGTTGTTGGAATAACAATGGAAAAATTAAATATTACTACACAATTATTTATAATTAGATACTCCGTGCTATGCACTGTTCTAAGGTAGGAGAGAATGAGGACGATTACGTACCTTCTTCCCACGGATGACAGCGCCAGGTTCTCCTTGGATTACCATGTATTTTGCCCCGCCAAGGAATAAACCAGTTGGAGCTAGATGTCCAGGTTCATCGAAATCTTTCATGATATTAGTAATTTCCTCTGGTTTAAACTGGATACATAAAAAAAATTAATCCACTTATTAAAAGATCACATTATATGAAATAAATGTAAATTTAGATTCATATGTCCATTGAATTTCATTAGTAAATCTTATTTCTTATAGAAAACCTCACGATCAATGACAGATCTAGCTAAAAGCCAAAGAAATTAATCAAAAAGAAAAAGGGGAAAAAAAAGAAGCACAATCGCAAGTTTGGAAACCCAAAAAGTGAGAAATTAAAAAAAAGTGAAAAAATATGGACATGTAAATTCTAATCCACATTGACGTGATGATCGAAAATTGACAATTGAAAGAACTTCTTGCATGGTTCACATGTTCTGTTTTTATCATCAGAATGGTTTCCTTTACTTTCATTTTAAATTACACATTTTTTTTATCGAACTCTTTATCATTATTATGAGGTGATAGTAACACAATATATGACTTCGTGATATAAGGTGATGGTAATCCAACATTTAAGAATTTCCTTCTTGGTTTATTAGAGAAACAGATTCATATATACAAAAATTAATGATGGATCCAGAATTTATACATTACGTATTTTGAGTTAAAAGAGTAAGTTTTGAGATGTATGTCTAATTTTGTATGCATATATAATTTGACTCCAGAGCTTGTTTGCCTAACTGAAAAATCTATTGTTGGATCCGCCACTGAAAAAAAAAAAACGGGGAAAGAATGCAAAAAGAAAACAGATCCAAGGATATTTGTCACGAAAAATCTGTTGTTGGATCCGCCACTAATTAAAACACGACGAGAACAAAGGGGAAAACATGCAAAAACGATCAGATCCAATGATATTTGTCGAGAAAATTTGTCGTAAAAATGTCACGAACCTTAGGGAAAGTGGAACTCTGAGCCCAGACACTGCCATCATGGCCAAGAATAGCTGCAGCAGCGAGATGGTGACCTTGCTGACCTTCAATGTCAGCCATCAAATGATCATCGACATATGTTTGCCACGACATTTTGTTGCCCTAAATTAAGTTGTTGTCTTTGTCTTTTGTTTTCTCCTTGTTCTTACGATGTTGTTCAAATCACTCGGTTTTAATATTTCATTGGAATGGAAAGCCTACGCGAGAGAGTATAAATAGGAAGAGAGAATGGTGGGTGAAACAATGGGAACCGTGGATTGGACGTGATTACATGAGTGCCATTCACGTTCTGATTAATTCTCTGATGCTTATTGCCATCATTTCTGTTCGTTAGTTGAAGTTGTGGAGATTTGGTCACCACTGGCTTTGTCATGTGCCATAACTGAGATGCATCATTATTCACCAGCCACGTCATCACATGTCCATGCTACCACCCAAAAAACAAAAAAGAAATTCCTCATTTTTTTTATTAAATAACTCCTTTTTACCATTTTTTATATTATGTCTTTCATAATGATGGTCTTCGATTTGTACGCACTTCGATTATTCAGTTGAATATTTACTAGGAAAAATTACGCGACACGCCAAGTATATATATTGTATTACTATTCTTAATTATGTTTTCCGAAAATTACCATTCATAACTATATTTGAGTTTTATAGTAAATCCATTTGAAAGTATTGAAATAAGAAATCAATTGTTTTGAACTGAAACAAGAGAGCAACAAGCTCGTGTTGCTCAATTGCTTAGACCAACTGCTTGGTATAAGCGAAGGTCTTGAATTTGGCTCTCAACGAGAACATTTTATTTTTTTATTTTTTTTGTATTTTTCCTTAGTTGTATTTGTAGCGTGAACGTATACAGTCGATACATGTTGTATTCTTTGTATACACCCATGTATCTCGTCTTGGTTATATTCATTGAGCGAACAAATACAATTGATACATATTGTATTTGTTGCATATCTGAATACAAGTAATACAAGCTGTTAACAATTGAACAATAGCTACAAATGATAATTAGACAAAATATAATTACGTATAATATTAAGGTTTAAACTATAGTGATTTATGAAAATTCATCTCTTAATATAAGTGGAAAGAAATTATTTAGTGAATTTTTGCCT